CGGCCCGGGGCGCAGAGGGGCGGTGGCCGCCCCGGGGCTCAGGAGGGTTTCTCAGTTGGATGCGGGGAGACCTCTCCGAGGGGGGCCCGGCGCTTAGGTGCAGAGGCGAGTGAGGCTGCCTTGCCTTCCCTCTCCCTCCCTCTGACCATCTTGGGTGCAGCTACCCCAGATGATGGTGGGCAGTAGCAATAATGACAGCAGCGGGAACCGCAACGTCAATAACGCTGAGGATATGTTGACAAGTATTTAGCACCTGGAGTTCGGGTTGCACTAGTCTCGCTCCTGCCTCCTCCTGCCTGTCCCTTGCACAGCCGGGGCACCGGGGACCACTTTCCTGATGGTGGCCCTGAAGACTTCAAATGGCTCACCGACCTGCCAGCAAGTCGCTGGCCGGGCAGGAATTTGCACCCAGCTCTGTGTTCAAGCTCTCCCGGCCCCTTCGTGGGGCCTGGTCTGGGGGAGAAGCTACTCGGTCTCAAGGCTCTTCTGGGGGTGGCTGGACTCAGGGCCAACCAGGGAGAATTCAGGTGGGAGCGGAGAGGCTCCTCCTGCCCCCCCCCCCTCTTGGCTTTTGCCCTTCCTGGGGTGCCTCCCTCCGCCCCCTGGTACTTGCCTGCCCCTGGACGGTTCCAGGGGCTTTTAGACATTTGTCCAGGGGGTGGCAGGAGTAGCTACGCCCTAGGGTCTCAGAGGGGACAGGCCTGGGGACGGCAGGCAGGACTCCCCAATCCTCCCGCTTCTCCCTGGGGGCCTGGTGCACCCGGTGAGAAATGAATTGATACTTATTAACATGTGCTAATGAGTGTTGCCTGAGCTGCCTTCCAAAGGGAGGGGGAGAGGGAAGGAGGTGAGAACAGAAAGGAGGTCACGGGGGAGAGCTTGTCCATCAGGAGGAGAGACCTGCCCAGAGTGAGCCCCAACTCCACTCGTGTTTCGCCCAGAGCAGACGTGCACAGAGTGACTTAGAGGAGCACACAGGAGAGAGGAGCCATGGAAAGCCAGCGTGTACGGCCCATGTTCATCTCCTCCCCCTGCTGTCAGGGGAGAGCCCTGGGCTGAGGCCTCACCAAAGCCACGGGCTCTCTTGCCTGCCTCTGGGGGGACGGGGTGGCCCGTGGTTAAGAGCAGGCACCCGAGAATCAGGCTGCTTATGCAAATCACACAGCCTCCCTGTCTGTGCCTTGACGTTCCTCTTCTGCAAAATGGGAATGTGCATATTTACCTGCTAGAGTTGTTCCGAGGATGAAAAGAGTTAACCCCCCTACCCTTGATGGAGCCAGACACCGGTGGTGGGGTGGTGGTCGGCTTGGCAGGCCATTTTTGGCCAGCATCCCACTCCTGGGGCAGTGAAAGGCTTCTGGAAGGGCTAGCCCCAGAGTGAGGCCCAGAGGGAAGGCTGGCCTCAAGCTCTTAACCCCTGTGCTGCCCAGCCACTCAGCGGTTTGGCACAATCACTTCCAGCTCTGACACTGTCATTGGGTTCCTTTGCTCGCATCGTCCCCCGAGCCTGGGGCCCGGACTCCAGAATTCTGGAGGTGCCCCCCAAAACCCGGCCCAGATCTGTGGGGCCGGAGAGCTCATCTAAAGACCAAAGCTATTACCCCTTGCTGCTTGGTTTTCCTGGCGAGGGAGGGAGAGTGGAACTCCTGCTTCCTACTTTCAGAGCTGTTGGGATGGGGAGGATGTTGGCTTGAGGGGGTATGCCTGCAGGGTGGCCGCCGTGACCTCCAAACCCCTCACTGAGACAGCCCTGCATTGTTCATTGTAGACCCGCGGCTGGAACCTCCTTCTGGGAGGCGCATCCCCAACTCTCCCAGAGCCAGGCCCAGGGAAGGCCCCTGAGCCCAAGCAAGTCCCTTTGTCCCTTGTCTCCAAGCCGAGCCTGCAAAGCAGTCACATGTAGGAGTTACAGCCCCGCTCTGGGCTCAGACAGATGAGGGTGCAAAACCCACTGACGGGCAGTGAGGCCTGGGGGAAGTGATTTCCCCTTATGGACCCTAGCAGAAATAGAGGGAATCATAGCACTGGTTGCACAGCATCAGGGTCAGGACCGAAATGACTAGTCAAGGAGTTAGCTGGCACTAGAGAAAACGTAGCTTTATTACCGCAGGCTGGTGGGGAACATTGACTTGTTGTTCTGAAATAGTAGCACCAAAGGGCTAAGTACTTTGCTTGCAAAGCTTCTCCCCAGAGGCCAGGCACCTCCTGTCTGCCCTCTCCTTCCCACCACGGCCAGGGGCTGTGGGAAAGGAGAACCTGCGAGAGGGAGAGGGAGGGGCCTTTGCCTGTGGGGAGGGTGGCCTCTGTGTCTCCTCTGAAGCCATGCTTTGCTGCAGGGCCTCCAGAAGACCTCCAGGCAGCGGCGGGATGCCTGCCCTAAGGGGACACGGGCAAGCACACTGCTCCCAGGGCAGAATTCTGGAGTCCGGGCCCCAGGCTCCGTGCTGTGTGAAGGCCCAGGCTGGGCTGTCCCATGCGTAGAAGGAAGGTGGGGGTGATGGCACCCTGTTCTGGTTACCTGCAGCCCTTGGAGGTCTTTGTGACTCCCGGGAAAGGCACACGTGGAGTTTGAAGGAGGAACAGAACCCATGTACCTGCTGATCGGTTCAGATGTTGAAAGAGGCGAGGGTGGAGCTGAAAATGGCTCCCCAGAGGACAGCCTACAACCCAGGGTGGTCAGCGAGTTAAGATCGCATCCTCCCTCTCCTCCCGGCCACCTCACCCCACCCGGGGCTGGGGGTGGTGGGGGGGAGGAGTGGGTTGGATGCCCAGGGCCAGCCTCCCCTCCCAGCGGAGCCCTGGAGTCCCCGCCCCCA